TTTGTTTTTTATTCAGATTATCAGAGCATACAATTAAATCACTATTGTATGCTGATCCCGTGCAAATCCCTCATCTGCATGTGCTGTAAGCAAAAGATGAAACGCAGCTAAAGACATCGGGTGTGTATCAGTATAAATGTGACATCTCCGTACTCCATATTTAATCAGACTGTTTTAATAATCAGCAGGTTTCCAGCTTGAGAAGAACTCTTACACTTCTTTTCTGAAGTGTAGGAATCACAACACTCAAAACAACCACATTTAAAAACGTCACAAATATGGACACATTTTTAAAAGATATCAGCCGGAAATGTGTTCAGGTCCGTTTTGTATGACCCTTGATGCCCATGAAGCATGACACCGCAGCATATCCACAAAACTGAAAACATCAATGTCTGCTGAAAGGAACACATGACCATCCACTTACCAATCGGAGACTGCTATCGAGGTGTTCTGGTAGATCTTCAATCCCTCTTCCTGCAGCGGCCTCTCTCAGGTTGCTGTCATAAGTTCAGCCTGTCTGTTCCTACTCTTTCCTCCACTCATTCGCTTTTGGTACAGTGCGGTATTCCTCACTTGCCTCACTGCTCCTATGAGGAACAAATGAGGATTGGAGGGATGAAGGGAGATCAGCAATGAGGGGATAAACCCTGGGATGGAAGAGTAAGGGGGAGGGGGGGTGATGGTGAAATAGACAGAAAGGGAGAAGAAACAGTGGGTGAAACCAAACAAGGTGCAGAGCATGTCTGTAGGGTCACAAGACATGAGCCGGGGTGAATCCAAGTCAAAAGACTAAGAGATGGAAATCGTGGAGGGGAGGGAGAAGAGGATAAATAGAGGACCTGGGAACATGGCTTTTTATGGTGCTGAGATAGTTTTCAAAAGATCTATGACTGACAGGAGGGTTTGTGTTTTGTAAACCTGAGGTGAAGCTAATATTAGAAAGTGTATGGGCAGAGGGGGAGATTGGCAGTGTAGGGATCCGACTGGCTACAATGATAAAGCAAGAATAACTGCAGGATTAAGGGGAATGGATGATTCTTACACACAAGCAGACCAACAACCATGGGCATTTCCTGACAGTGTGTAGAGCGTGCGCCACTATAGCTGTCTCCTATGTTCTTTGTCATCTAAAGGTAGAGATAAAGAGCCACAATATCCCTTCGGTTTGCTCGAGTTCTGCCCACACATCTAAATTTAGAGGTTTCTGTTGTCACTCGTCTGTTGATGTGCCACTCCACAGCTTTTGCACATTATCTAACAGAGTAAATCACCTGTGTTAGTTACGAAACAACGCAGCTTGCACTCACGATCATGACATTGCATTGTTAGGCAGAGAGCCGGATCGACGAGAACAGACTGCGTTTGACCCAAAAGGCCTGGGAGAAAGTCACCGAATCAGGTGCTGAATCCCAACTGCATTATTAAAGGGAGCTCCCATTCCTTTCTCCCACTGAGGTTTTCACATGGATCAGGAGAGTCACTTTATTGAGAGTTACTTTCTGTAGCTGAAGTATGTTCATGAAAAATGTATGGCAGAGCTATTGTACTGCAGTGTCTGTAACTTCTCCTTGAAATTTGTGTCAAATACCGAGTGTCCTCTGAACAAGAAGAACACATTCAAATCCTAAACTAGTCCTAAAACAAATTTGCTTAGGGGTGTTTACAAGTACACAGTGACAACATGCAAAACATCCCAGTCTAAGACCTTGTTTAATGCTCTTTCTCTAAAACACACTTCACTTAGTTGCAAAGAATAATTAGAAAATATAACATAAAATCCTGCCCATGAACAAATTAAATCCTACTTGTTCCTATATAGAACAAGTAGCCCAGATATCACATTACTACTTTCCAGGCAAACCCTTGTTGACACGGATTCGGACAGTTGAACGCCATCAGACAATACGAATCCCTTGTTTGCACATTTGTGAACATATCTGTGTTTGGAGCAGAAAAGCCTTTGCTGTGTGCTTCCTGGCTTCATTCTGTGATTCAGCGTGACTAAATTGAGCTCTGCAGTTTAAAAGCGTTGACCTTTGCTCGCTGGATTGTGGTAACGGCAGTGGTGCTGACCCTTGATTTGGAGAAATGGAGTCAGGGAAGCACAGGCTGTGAAACGGCGAGTGAAACAGAGAGAAAAAACAAAGAGCAAAACAAGGGATTTGTTAGCAGAGGCACAGAAACAGGGCGGGATAAAGACAGAAAGAGTGTCCGATTATGGGTTACTATTTAAAGACTAACAATGCCGCGCTCTACTACAAGGAAAACTCTCAAAGTGGTTTGTAAAGTCTTATAATCTTCTATGATTTTATTACATTTACTACTGATGTTAAACTGACTGAACTGAAAGCAGAAAAGGTGAGCATCCCTCCCCGAGTGAGATGAAAATTTCACTGCACTCGGTCCCTGCACAGCACAATAAAAACAAGAAGAGGAGAGTTTGTTTTGTTTACTTTGCACACGCTGAAAGAGATCTCTGAACATTTGATCTGTGGGAGGAGTGAGTGGATTAAATGACAAATGTGTCAGACACAAACATGTTGTTAGACTGTTGATGTTTATATAACTCATTATGGTCTAGACGACCCTTACTGAAGTTCAAACCCAGTATCAAAATGGAGCAGAAAGCTGATTTAAATGACTTTGAGCACGGCATAGTTGTTGGTGCTACAAAGTAGATCATCAGTCACTTCTGCTGGCTAGGAACAGAAAACCGAGACTACAATTCACATAGGATCACCAAAATTAGACAACGGGAAATTAAAAAAGCATTGCTTGGTTTGATGAGTCCCAATTTCTGCTGTGGTGTTTGAGTGGTGGGGTCAAAATTTGACACAACACGAAAGCATTGTTTCATTCTGCCTTGTAACAGCTGCTCAGGCTGCTGGTGGTGTAACAGTGTGTGTGTGTGTGTGTGGGGGGGGGGACTTTATTACCAGGTGTGGATCACTGAAACACCACAGCCAACCTGTGAACTGTTCCTGACCATATCCTTCCCTTTATAATGTTTATAATGTGCCATTTTGCTCAAATCATCACAAACTGGTTTCTTGACAATGAGTTCACTTGTACTCAAATAGCCTCCACAATCACCAGATCTCAGTCCCATAGAGCACCTTTGGGATGTGGTGGAACAGGAGATTTGCATCATGGATTTGCAGCTAACAAATCTGTAGCAATCGTGTGATGCTATTATGTGAATATGGTGAAAAATATCTGAGGAATGTTTTCAGCATCTTGTTGAATCTGTGCCGTGAAGCATTAAGACGGCTCTAAAGGTGAAAGAGGATCCAACCCGATACTAGCAAGATGAACTTGAAAATGAAATAGCAAGTGAGTGGGTGTATATTCACCTTGCATATGTTCCCAAGCAATATCTGTGCACTCTCAGCAGGCGGTTTGTGCTTAGACAAAAACATCTGTCAATCAGGTGTGGGTATAATTTGACTGATATTTCAAGGTTTTACTGTTTACATTAAAATGACGAGCATTCGTTTTTCTGACAAGTTTCTTTCAGTATTCGTGTGTAAACTGGCAGTGTTTTGATGCAGAGATTAGCAGACGAGGTCGTCTCACAGCAACAAGGTTCTGGGTTCAACTCAAAGTTGATTTTCTGAGCCGTCTGCAGGGGAGTCGAGGAGAAAAAATCTCCTTCCACTTTCCAAGCAAACTCAAATGACTGCGAAGACTTTTCACCTTAGACTGTGTCTGATGGTGCACCTACCCTGAAGGGTTCAACAGTAACAGTAAGCTGCTGTAAACAGAGTACAGTTTCTTGTTTTAACTGTATGTAAGCAGTTGGTGTGTTGAAATGTTGCATCTCTGCTGCTGTTCTTTTAACTTTTGATACAGGCTACCCCTATAAACAGGAATGTAAAATAAAAACTGGAATCTTATTATTTCTGTTTACTCTACTCTTCAAAATTACGTAAGGCACCAAGGCCAGACATCATCATCAGGCAACCAATAGGAGGTTAGGGTCATAATCACAAATAGTAGGAAATGTGATATAGGAGATGAGTATCCTGTCTGCTACTCACTACACACAGCACTTAATTATAATAACACCAGTTTTATAACTATGCGGCTGAGCCTTACATAATTTCTGCTGCTCATGTAAAAACATAGAAATTTGATGTGTAAATTTCTCGTTTGTATACGCAGGTATCATTAGACAGCTGTGATCTTTAATGTGCCTTTAAAATGCTTTAAAATGCATTATGCATAAAATGCTTTTTAGTGACTAACTACTACTTAAGTGAAGATTAATGCGGAGGTGTTTTGGGCGCTACGTGGTCTCAATGTGAGAGGGAGGGAAGAGGTTAAACCCAAGGCTGCATTAAAAAGGGCCCACCGACCCAATTCCAGCAGCAGGGGATTATAACACAGGGGGGAGTAAGAGTGTTAATATGGGCCATGAATGGTACTTAAGTCGGCACCTAATGCACAAGATGAAAGCAGAGGAGGGGGGCTGAGTGGAGGCTCTGGTTGTAATGGGGAGGATAAGATGGGAGAAGGTGGTCGAGTGTCACTGCGCTGGATGTGAATGATTAAATCATCTCTCCCGGATTAGTATTCCATATTCTAAATGGGAGATGTTTTTAAGCTTCATAAACAAATGCACTCATTTATGAGGGATTAACAGTAATCTCTCTATTTCTATCTTTTTTTCCCCCTCCCTCCACACCTCTCGCTGTCTGTCTCTGGTCCTTTTCTCCCTCTTTTACTGCCTCAAACGATAGTTTCTGGACAGCGTCACTGTGTTCACAGGTTCCTGCTGCTGTGTGGTTCCTATCTTATCATCCTATCTTTGTCTAACAGACTAAATAAACTTTAACCTTCTTTTTGTTTATTTTTAATTGTTTTTATCAGCAGGGTGTTAAAGAGGGTGTGCAGTAATCACCTAATAGATTACACAGACCTGTTTTCACATCATCTAATGCGCTCTCTGTTCAGCACTTGCATGCATTTGGCATACAATACCCACGATACACCTGTACAGAGTCACATTTACGACTTTTTTTATTCTCTTTGGTTTTTAGGGCAGTGATTGACATTAGAGGGACGACAGGACATTATTTCTCTCATATACCCTCATCATATACAGTATAAATACAGTATATACACAGATGCGAACTGTACACCACCAGGCAGCAACATGAAGAGGGTGAACGTGTGGGTAAATGATGGAGTGTGGGCTCATTCTGGCCCTCACAGCTCATCCTTGCCCCCCGTCACCCTGCGTCTCTCTCGCTTCTTCTCCTTTGTCACTTGGCTCCGAGCGTTACGGCTAGAGGTGGCACCTCCCTCCTTCTCCTCGTCCGTTTTCACCACACTGTGTCCATCTGCAGCCCACACGGCCTCTGCCTCCTCTCGCTCCTGAGGGAGAGATCCAAAATGCAGCTCAAATATTGACTTCCTGCAGTCACAGTGACATAAAACTAAAGTTTGGGAGGAACATTCATCTTTGTTGGAATGATTTCAACTTCTCTTCTTGCACTTTCAGGACATTTTTTCTGTAAAAGAGATTCTCCTCTGTTAGAGTGAGCTTCATTTGCTCAACACGAGCCCACAGGGCAAACAATGACCAATGCGGGATAAACTAAGTTAATGAAACTTTGCTTGCATAACCAAAACTTTAATGAAAATGTAGCCAAGCAGATAATGTAAGGCTGGAGCTGAAAACCCCCTGTTCATCTAAGCAAAGTGTGTTTCTACATGTAAATTTAGATTTTCTTTTATCTACGTGATGCTAAAAGTTATGTAAACTGAGTCGTTTCGATAGTCTCTTTGGCTCGACGGCAACTCTTCAGCGCAGCTCCTTACATCTCTGTTATTATCACTGATGAGGATGCACTCCCTCGCTGCAGAAAATCACAGCTTATTAAAAGAACTAAACATGTTTTGGTTTATAAATTGTCAGGGGCATGAAAAATGATTGCATTTATGATAAACCTAAAAGACAATGTCATGGCATCACCACAGACCAGGCACAGTAAATAGGAAAACATGCAAACAGCCACAAGATTTGCATTGTGCCCCAGCTGCTCATGTTATCCAACACCGGTATCATGACATCATCAACCACACGCCTGCAGGTGACCGGCCAGACCTGAGGAGGAGGAGAAGGAGGTCATGGCAGCTCTGTGCTGTCATAAAGCTCACCCTGTCCCTGTAGAGCTTCTCCTTTGTGAACCAGAGGGCCAGGGCGCACCGCCGGCCTCTGGTCACCGCGGTAACACCGTGAGGATTTACCGGACCCGAGGAGAAGCCCACCAGTCGACCACAGCTGGGTTTCACTCGAGCCTGAAGGCACAGAAGACAAGTTTACCAGCTCCAACAAATATATTAATTAAAGACTTAAAATAGTAATAAAAAGATTAGAATGACTTACCGTTACTGTCTTGGCATCTCTGTTAGTGAAGAACAACTCTCCGCCATCAAAGTCGTCATTCAGGTAGAGGATGGCGCTGTGAGACAGAGAGATGTTTGTCATTCAGTCGTAAAAGTAACCTGCTGTGTAAGAATTAGGCTGAAATCTGAGCATAAATGCACACACAGTCATTTGATTATTACAGTTTGTTATTACACTGTTATGTAGTCCTGCTAATTCCACTTTACATTTTAATCCCATTTATTTATTTTTAAATTTCACACCTATGTGGACCGTTTTAATTTCTCACTAAAACTTCTCATGTCTTCATCCATTTATTGGCCACTTAATATTTCTTCATCGTTTACTATACGATGAAGAAACAGGCAGGTGAAGATGTTGCGTCTAGGTGAGATTCTGTGCCATGGAGAAATGTCAGTTTAATCAATCATGCAAAAATAATATAACATTTAGATAAGAAAATTGTCCAAAAAAATTAAATAAATTCATTACCCCTGAAATAAAAAGAAATGTAACTTTACTTTGCAGCACTGCAGATTTCCTGCCACAAGGAAGGTCAAATCCAGGGTTAAAGTTTTAAAATGTGAAATAGAAACAATTAATCTGTAACAGGCTGGTTCTTCTGAAGGTTTCTTCCTGTTAAAAGGGAGTTTTTCCTTCCTACTGTCACCAAGTGCTTGCTCCTAGGGGGTCATCTTGTTGTTGTTTCTCTGTTTTGTTGTAGGATCTTTAACTTTCAATATAAAGCATCTTGAGGTGACGGTTGTTGTGATTTGCCACTGACTAAAATTCAATTCAATAATGTCACAGAATTTTAAAACTGACAGTTACATTTCATAACAGGAGCACTCAGACAGCCCACCTCCATCCACCTCATAACCATCTCATAAAATCTGAAAATGATATCTTGAAAACCGTGGACACTAAAGTGCTAACAAACAGACAGACAAACAGAACTTGCAACAATTACATATTTCCTTCCTTTGGTCAAAGCAGAAACATTGAAACACTACCACCTACAACCATTTGGGTCTTTTTTTTGCCAAAAATTCAGCTCAAAATGTAACTAAGCCATTTCAGTCTCCAATTATTAACGTTTTTTTCCTTAGACTGACCTGTTGGCATATAATAAAAACTAAAAACACCAACTTTAAGTGTCACGTTCAGTTTTCAGTTGCATTTATTTATGGAGTAATTGTGTTGTAGAGCAGTGTTTTCTCTGCTCTCCCTCCACCTCCATCGGTTCACGTAGCTCTAAGGTGTCATTATTTCCCCATAACGACAGAACAAATCTATTTATCAGTGACGACAGGTGCTCTGGTTGTTTTGATATTTGCCACAATTGTTCCCCTGAAACACTGTTTAAGACTTGCAGTGCAAACTAATGCTTTTTAGGTAATTCCCTATAAAATCAGCAACATCTAAGAAATGTTCCCACCTGTCCTCTTCAGACACAGCAAGATGTTTTTCTGTAATCAGTTTTTGAGCACCAGTATCTCGGGATACATCATTGTTTAAACAGCAAAATTAGTTGCAGATACAAGCATGCTATGTTTTAGCTTTCCTTTGATTATTTGCTAAGGAGAGCTTCAAAAAGTTGATTTCATTTTCTAATACAGTCATATTGTAACACTCCCAAATGTAGCTTATGGCTGTGAAATGGAGAAACAACGTCGATGTTCACATCTTCTATATAATGGTTTGAAAATGTCACATTCCTCAAGCAGCTAAAGGTGTTTCTCAGAAAACTATTCTGAGCAGACACAAGTCTCTGGATCACAGAGTTCTTTGTTCAGTTTGTGACAGCTTTGTTCTGGCAACGATGACATGTACCATTCTCTCACTGTTATAAGCTGATGATATCTAAGTGACATTTTACCAGTAAAGGCGTATTAAAACATTCTGTTCGTGGATATTTGCTGGAATAAAATGGCTTGAGAACATCTTCTAAAATTATTTATGGAGAAAGTGTGAGCCCAAATTTATTATTAATCCACGAAGAGATGTTTTTTCAGTACCTGAGGTCTCTGTGTGTGAAAGCTGGTGGTTCCTTCCAACACTGCTTGGTTTCCGGCTCGAGGAGACAGTTGTCAACGTGGACGGGGTGAGAGAGGTCCAGCCTGCCCTTCTGATCCTCTGATTTAAAAAGAAAAAACAGAACAAGAACAAAATAACACATTTAACTTTAAGTAATGAAGTAAGAATAGAGTGGATGATTTGGTTACACATTAGAGAACCTGTTCCAATTATCCTAGTATTGAGTACTGTTGGTTTTACCTGTGACAGCAGTGCGACAGACCAGGTGTGTGAAAGTGATGAAAAGTCCTGAGGGGCTCCTGAAGTAGGAGTGCAGCACGGTTCTCACTCTCTCACCCAGCTCATGTAACAGCTTGGCATCTGATTGGTTCACCAGGCCTTCCTGAGCCAACTGAGGAAGAAGCAGCAGTGAGGGTCACGAGATGCTGCTGAGAGCATCTCATAGACCTGCTTCAGTTACATCATTTCCACCCACCTTCACCGCCCTGAGGACAGTCAGACCTTCAAACGTCTCATGAGGAGTGTGTGGAGACCGCCGTCCTCGATAACCATCTCCAAGAGATCCTGCCACCTATGAGAGACCATGTAAATGTGTAAGTTAGGGGTTTTCACATGCATGCGTTAAAAAAACTGATTGAACTTACTGATGCTAACTGCAGTATTCTGTCACACTCCTTCTCCGTCATGACTCCATCCAGGACGACTCGATTGGTGCCATTCAGCATCTCGTCGTCCATTGTGATAGTCACGCCCACCCGAGGCACCGGACCTCCTGCAGAGAGGACAAATAAGAAAGTATAAGACAGTAAGTGGGTCACCAGAAGATGGTGATACGACTGTGTTTTTGGTGATATGAAGTCGCAGAAGCAGCCAAATGGAAAATCTTTGCTTCTATAGCAACAGTGTGTAATGGGGCGACCAGATCCCAACAAACTGAATGTATTCTTTTTGATTTTACTTTTATTTCAGGTGCTGGTCTGTTTGGTCTTCAGGTTTCAGTAGATCCATAGAAACTGTGTCACTTCACGCCTCGTTTTCCTCTGTGTGAAACTGATAAATTATTCAAGCAAATAAGACAAAACTCTGTTTCTCGGTATAAACTGCCGCTTCAATTTCTTTGTAATAGTTTCCACAATATTCAACAAAACCCACAAAGCTTGTGACTTTTTGGTGACTTTCCCTGATGGCCATAGCAGCAGACAGGTTAATCTCCACTTGACTATAAGTGACTCCTTCCCTGTTTTATATTTTAGAAAAGTCTAAGCAGTGTAATATAAAGAGTAGAATGTCTTCTAGTGTGTCATCTTTAACAGAGATGCCAAGAAACAGTGACACACTACATTTAAATGATCCTCTATTTTCACATACATAAGATGTGTGAGCTGTTATAATCTGTTTATCCTTACTCACAACCCTACAAAGCCTGTAGGTACGTGTGGATGTTGTTCATTATTTCACTTGTTAATGGATAGATGGATGTTAATGGTTACATGCCAGATAAACAGGCATATCTGTCATGGATACACTCGTGTTTCCTTGTTTTAAGCTAGCTGAAGTGTAATTAAGGTGATGAAGAGCTCCTCCCATGATGCCCTAGGTAGAAAAGGCTGAAGACACATAGCATAGGGAAAATACAGTCTCTCACCTGCAAAAAACCCACTGTCATCCACTTCCTCTTGCTGCTCGCCCACTTTCATTTTCTCATTTATTTTCTCTTTTTCAGCTCTAACAGTAAAACACAAAAGATACAGATGGAGTTTTCTGTTTCATTAGTTTCCACTAGTGACAGATTCACCTTTGATTTCTTTTTTACCTCCAGATCTCCCTCAATGATTCAGGTACAACTTCTTCTGGAGTCCAAAGATCCTGCACAGAGGGTGATGAAGAATCTCAGCAAAGAAATGCTTTATAGCTGACTCTCTTGTCACTGCACTGCACATTTGGCATCAGTACTTACTGGATCTGTGAAAGTGAAGTCGAGGTTCTCCATACCAAAATACAACAGCTTCTTCTCCTGCAAGGAGTGGTTGATGTATCTGACAATCTGCTGTGTGACAAAAAACACACAAATCTGTGCTTAAACATGACTTTAAAGATGAATTTGAAACTTAATGCTTGAAATAACTGAACAAGAGAAGAGAAAAAATTTATTTCTCATTTAAATTACTTGGATTACTTTATTGGATTTATGACTTTTTACGTTTTTACACCACTGTGGTCATTTTAATATAATGAACCTTGAATGGTTTGAATGGTACCTGAGCAGGCTGTGTGCTCTGTGACTCTGTGTCTCCCCCTAGTGTCTCATGGTAGAGCTGCAGGTTGTCTAAGGAGTCCTTGTCAGAGGGGTAAAACAGCAGGAGAGAGCGAAGCATCTGCAACGCCCCGTTTATGTCACCAGCTGCCGGGAATTGAGGATGCAAAGTAATGCAAAGTAGTGCATCAGTCTTAAGATGAATAATAAAATCACGTGTGTGACCTTCACATTGACCTAAAAAATCAGACCTTTAAACTGTGCGATGTGCAGATGCTCAAGCTGTGTTGGCAGGAAGTCCTCCTGAGCAGAAATCCTTCCAGGTCGTGTGGCCACTTGAGTCACGCATGACTGTCGGCATGAGAGCAGGGAGAGGGACAGGGCTGGACAGAAAACAAAAACTGGTGACATTTGGCTCTTTCTGTTCTCTTTCTGTCTGGCTCAAAACTTCTGCCTGCTTCTTACCTGCTGCCTTTTCAAACACGCCGTCAACGCTGTCAACTCCCCTGTCCTCAGGCAGCCGTTGGGAAGCGACTTCACACTGCACCCTGCACTCCTCTGTCTGCCGCAGGGTTTCATTCACACAAGCTTTCCATTTCTCTGCTGCTTGCTTCCATTCAGAGTTAGCCTCGAGCTGCAGTGCAGCATCATACAGGACCTGAAGTCAGTGACACAGAGACAGAGATTAACACAGTGAAATAACACAGTCACCATTTGCTTGCTAATTAAAAAAAACAAAACCTAATGAGTTGTGTATTGTTTTGTATCATAGTGTTTAAGAAATATAACACTTTTAAATATAACTATTTTAGATTTGCTGTGCAAAAGTATTCTCAGTGCTCCTCTAAGTAATCCTTACAGCAGCATTAACAAACATTTACTTGAGGAGAAAAAGATTAACCGTTTATAAAACACACACTTATCAATAACGATGAGATGCTATTGAATTATAGGTGGTTTACACACTGATTATTACAATCCTTATTGTAAAGTGTTACCCAAAGCTAAAGGCTAGCGTTTGATGATGAAGTACATTTTTACTTTTGAGATATGTGCATGTCATTACAGGCAGCATTTATGCCTAATCGTGATATAACACGTGTGGCTGAATAGTGAAAATGAGAGGCAGAGGCAGACACCTCACATCTGGATTGCACGGCTAGAAAACAGACAAGTGAAGGTGAGAGTGAGACAGAGAAATTGAGTCCCTCAGGCCACGTCTGACTCTCCACAGTGACGTCTCTAAAATCATTCTGTTTGAACGCACTTCATTAGCAGTTGAGTTGTGAACTTACATCAGAGTGAGGACTATTAGAGGACTAGCTATGGCTTAGTTAGGATCAATCAGTTAAAGAAAAGTCTGATATGTTTGTTCAAAGCCTTTAAACCTGTCTGCATATCGGCTATCATTAACTAGTTAGCAAGGGCAAAAACTCTTCCACTGCTTAACTAGTGAATCAAAGCTTTTATGCTTTTTAGAAACTAAAACTGAGAACTATTGGTTCATTCCAGAGGACTTAAAGTGCTTCAAAAAGATAAGTAGTTTGGTCTTTCGTGCTATCTGCTTATAGTTGGACAATAGCAACACTAGCGACTGTGAAAGAAGGTTGCAGGTAAGGCAATATGTTTGACTAGTGCTGACAAACACTGTTAACCTAACCATTAAGCCTCTTTAGATAAGTGTTCTTTATCTTCGCCTACAGATTTTATGACAATGAAGCAGCTTTTTAGAATTTCTGTTTAATTAAGATAATTTTTTAAGGTAATCACAACATTTTTGCTTTAAATTGCAACATTTAGAGTGGATGTAAGACAGCCTTCAGTTTTTTTAAATGTCTTTTTAAGACATAGAAATGTCATGTGTCTCTCCTCTGTGCTTATGAAGGTATGAGGGCTCCAAAATGCTGAAGAATCAGCTGATTCTGAATGGGTCAGACAGTAAATTTATTCAGATTTGACTGATTTTTCTAAGCAGTGCAACCCAGTTTCTTCCCACTTACACTGTATGCCCCATTACTCTTCCCTCCTCACCCAGTGTTTCTCATTGTGACTCTCTCTGTCCTGAAAATCTTCCTCGGTCACGCTTTCCATCCGTCTGTACTTCTCGATGTTGTTTCTCATCTCCAGGTGAGAGGGGTTGGCCACGAAGTAGGTGTGAGCTGCTGATGCCGCCCTCTGCAACTTTTCCAGCTGATGTGGAGGAAAATGAGAGACTGAATGAAGTTTGTTACAGACCAATAAGGGTGTTGCTGTGATTATTTATGCAGCTGTGAGCTGAACTATAATTATGGCTGCAGACAATACTGACAGGTGCTTTCCTCTAAATGACAATTTGGAGCACAGTACTGGTAGAAGTAATGACAATTTAGGAGCTTTATTATGCAGCAGCTCCTTACGGCTGTGTAAAGAATGGCTTACCTTGTAGTAGGTGACTTGCAGAAAGTTATAAGGGTTGCGAGTGCCAAACTCGTATTCTATATCAGCAGAAACAGGAAGCTGTCCAACATGTGTGACAGAGCGTCCAATGCAGAACCTCAAACACTCAGCTTTTTGCTGCACCCAGTCCAGGGCCCAGAGGTCCCACATAGTCCCGTGTTCAGAGTCTAACAACACACACACCATTGAAAAAATGATAATGTCCCAGCCTGTGGCCTATATTTTATAAATTTTGAGTTCTAGAACTGCAATCAATCCACAACAAAACACAAAAAAGCTTATCTCACACATTCTTTGAGCTCTTGAGGTCACATTGTTCTTTAGCTACGCATTTAGACACCGAGAAGTGAGAGTGAAGCTGCCAGTAACTTCATAAAATCTAGTTTCCAACTAGTAATTAACACAGACTCAAAGCTATCTGTCTGGCTACATGATAGGTCCAATCTTTTTCTTCTTTTAGCCGTTCCCTTTAGGGCTGACCACAATGAATCCCCTGCCTCCATCTCACTCTTTCCCTATTATCCACCATCTGCATGGCCTCCTTCACCACAATGAACCTCTGCTGTGGCCTTCCTCTTTTTTTCTTACCTTGCAGCTGCCGCCAATATATATAGCCACTATGTCGCCTGTGCGTATGTCCAAACCATCTCAACCATGCCTCTCTAACTCGTCTCCACCCACTCCACCCTGCCTGCATTCCCTTCTTCACCTCTCCCTTGTGTACTGTTTGTCGCTTTGGATACCCCAGGTATTTAAACTCATCTACCTTTACTACCTCTACTCCTCTTCTCTTCAGAGCATAGGTACACATCACTATTTCGTCTGCATGAATCCATGAATGCTCTACTTTACATATTCACTGAGTAGGTCAGTCGTTTCTGGCCTTTCCTTAAAGTTGGCAGGTTTGAAAACATTCAGCAGGTTGTATGGAAGAAGGTACTAGTGACTGCTCCCTTATTTCTCACAGCAGATGCCCCTCCTGACATAGCCCTTCAGGTTCATCCCTGAGGGTGTGTTTGTGATCTAGCAAGTGTAATTATGTCAGTTGTGAGAAGCTAAAAGAATAATTGAATTTCACAAAATCTGTTCTAATATGTTGCATGATGCACTGATGACATTAATACCACAGGGTATAAAATACAAAGACTGGCTGACAGCTGATTCAGACACCGACACTTAGTCTGTGTTTTTTTGTTCCATTGAAGCAAATTAGCTTTAACTCTACACAGTTTTGAAACATCCAAGTCGCCCAAAACTGTGTCACAGATTATCTTTATTGGCCAATTTTTTTGCTGATATGCCAATATTAGTCAGCAGGGACAAAACTGGTCTACACCAGTGTTATATAGCTAATTTATTAATGCAGTTTAATGTAATTAGCATGTTACTGACTGTTAATGAGCTTCTACAGCACCATTCAGGCGCATTGTTCAGACAGATCATCATATTACCAGTAATTGATCTGATATAATTTATATTACCGCCCAGCTTACCCAGTTTCTTCAGAGCCTCTGTCCCTGCTGCCATACAGTCGTCATAACACTGCCTGCGGACCCCGAACAGTGATTCCCTGGTCACGATGGATTTCTCCAGCAGCTCTGCAGCTTTGCCCCACTCCCCACTAAAATATGCGCGGACCCCGCTGTAATACAGAAAATCATACGGCTGCAGAAGTGACATAACTTTGGTGCTGCCTCCTGCCCAAGCCGTTGAGGTAAAACTAAACAGTGCGAGAATAACACAATTAAACGCCACGTATACAGCCAAACGTCCCGATTGAAGCGCCATGGTCCGACAGGCAATCCCAGCAGAGGAGGCGAAGGTGGGAGCAGAGGAGGGACTCCAAGGGGAGAGCTACCCACAAAGTTTCCTCCCTGTTAAGAAAGTGGGGGCTTTTTTTGAATTTTGATGTACTTTTTAATGAATTTAATACATGTAATACAACACTGCGCGTTTATTAACGACTCCCGTTGGGTTTGCTTGAGTTTGTCAAATTGGATTTGCGGTATTGATGAGTTTTGACTTGATTGAACTTGTTATGTCTGAAGCTACAGTATTTGTACCTCACCCGAGAGGAACCCGAAGTACGCAACCGACGTTACCGTAAATACAGATGTAAAACAACTTTGGTAGTTTGAAGTGAAACTAATAGTTGTTGGTTGTATTTTGAAGAAAGTAATCATTTCTTATAATTAATAAAGCACTAACGCACATTCACATTTTCATAAGGCGACTCGGCAGTGGAAATACCAAGTATAAAATAGTCGTTTTTGCATTACAAAAATGAGAACGCGTACCTATATCCTGTGGATTACGGTAATGAGCAGCAGCCACTCTGTGTGCGGGACTTCTTTACGGCCTTCCCTCAACACAAGGCAGCGTCTCATGATTCATTCAGGCAAACACAGGCAGCACAACACGGGCCAGACAACAGACGCGCTTCCGAGCCAGGGTATCAAGAGGCTGGGTGTCCAAACTCAGAGCAGGTGTCCCACTGCAAGGTGGAACTAGCGAGCTTCGTCATGGCGGACGTTGGTGAGCTTTTGATGTCGGTTTTGTCCACAATTCGGGTTCCGAAACCCGGGGACCGCGTCCACAAAGACGAATGCGCCTTGTCATTTTCCTCACCGGTGAGCCATTTTTCCTTTTGTAAATCAAAACTTCAGCCGATAGACAGTGTTGCTGTGTTGTATTCCCTTCCTCTTTCGTGATTCACACTAACGTAACGTTTTGCCAGTGCTGTCTCACTTTAATGCTCTGTTTTTCTACGTTTTCCCCATTTCAACTAACTAGCAGGTTAGCCTCAAGCTAAGCTAATAATGCAATGTAATGGAAACTTAGCGGCTATAGCTTGTTAGCTAGCTGTGTGGGTTTAACTGAGTAAGCTGTCAAACTAAGTCAGTCACAACTGTTGCAGGACCATTGATTATGTAAATTTAACTTTGCTCAGAGTGTGTCACACTTAACAGACACTATTTTTCTGTGGACTTTAAAATAAACGAGCATTGCTTAACAGCAAAGGCTAGCAAATTGACAGGAGTGCTAGTTACTTTCACTGTAGCAACTGATGCTGTGACATGCTTAAGACTTATAGATCGCATCCAACTTTAATTTGCAAGTCTACTACAAGTGGTGCGAGATAAACAGAGGACAGTAAGCATTAAACACTGTCTGTGCTTCCTTTACAGGAGAGTGAAGGAGGCCTGTATGTGTGCATGAATAGTTTCCTGGGTTTGGGGAGTCAGTATGTTGACAGGCATCATGCTCGTACTGGTCAGAAGGCTTATTTGCACATCACCCGGACTCGTAAGGCCAAGGTGGGACACTTTATGGTTAAAATACGGTGATCTAAATTACATTTGTCTCTATCAGCACCATCCTTTTACATGTCCACTCACCTACTCTCAATGCCAACAGAAGGAAGATGATGGTAACTCTGGCTCTGGACACCCACCTAAGAAAAAGCCCACCAGACTGGCTATAGGTGAGTGCCTAAGCATGCATGTATTTAAAGAAAAAAGGCTAACTGTATGGGTATCACTTTTTCCTAGAAACATGCTTCCACCCTTGTTGTTTTTGTTCTTTTCAGGTATTGAAGGAGGGTTTGATGTAGAGCAGGAGCAATATGAGGAGGACGTAAAAGTGGTGATTTTGCCAGACAGGCAGGAGGTGACATCCGAGGACCTGGCCACCATGCCTGATGTCGTAAGAGAGCGGGTGAGAGGTCTTGTTTGTTTTCTAGTCTGTTCAGGTTTTCCCCAGGTTGTCTGTATGGCAGTAAATGGTAAGATAAGATGTGCTTTATTAATTTCAAATGTTGGAAATCTCCTTACTATATGCTCAGTTATCAAACAAGATACCTGATGCAAAATAATTATAATGCCACATCCTGTTTCACAGTGTGGCATGAAATAGGAAACCCATCCCTTTTCTTTGTTATTTATGTTCACATGTATTTTTTTCCTCATCAAATTATAGTTAAAATGAAAGGAAATCCACTGATTTGTTTTTGAAAGTTGAATAAATCCATAATCTTTTAAAAGTCTTGCTATAATTTTGTTAAATAATACTGCACCAAGATTTTGACCAAAATAATCATTATGATTTTTACCATAATCACACAGCCTTACATTATCTTAGCAAACAAGTGAACCTTTTCAGCAGTCCTTTAATACTAGAACTTGGGTGACATGCATATAGGTGTAGATTATGATGTATGGTTGAAAAACGAGGCATTTTCTCTTGTTTCCCAATTGAGTTGGATGTGAGCACTCAACTGTGACACAGTCAGATTTAATGATAAGCAGTTTTTGAACACGTTAGCCCCCTAGTGCAAAGTGTGAGATCTCTGGATGCTCCTATGTGTAAATAGTGCAAATAATTGTCCAGAGAATTCACAGTGACAGTGGCCATGATGTGTCCTGCCCTCCACATGCTCTGCCTAGGCAGCTGTCTCGCCTAAACCTCACAAGAGTATTTCCAGTAGTGAGAACACGACCAGAGTGGATTATCTCAAGTTGCCTGCCTCACTTCAGACAATGTCCAGACCTGACTGCCAACATTTTCCAGAGTTCATGCTTTTTCTATTGTCAGTTATCGAGTATTTGAAGTTTTATCAAATCACTTAGATTGTAGGTGGTAAGATGTGTATTCTTTGAGTAATGTTTGGTTTATTGTTTTGAGCTGTATTTGTTACCATGGTGGAATAATTTCTGGTGTTGTTTCATGATACTTTTTGTTTGTGTGCAGAGGATGCATAGTGCTGCTATATCATCTCTTTATCATCATCTAACCTTTTGCCTCCTTCCAGTCTGTTTGGGATTTTCTTTTTCTTTAAAGAAAAATTTCTGTGCTTAAGAGCAAGTGGACTTCAAATGAGATTTTCTTGAAATTTGTCCCCCTGCTGTCCACCTAGGTGTCCCTGTCTATGGCGGGTATCATGGCAGCTGACTCGGTGTCTCATACCTTACAAGTTCAGCAGTGGGATGGAGAGGTGAGACAGGAGTCGAAGCATGCCGCTGACCTTAAACAGCTAGACAATGGAGTCAAAATCCCTCCCAGGTGAGGCCAAAGTTCTATTATTTAATAAACTTGCCGTGCAGCAGCTCACATATTCTCTTCAAATTTGATAAAAGATGTGCTGGCTGTTAGGGCTGGGCGATATGGCCTAAAATCCATATTGTGGTATAATTTGAATCCTGTGCGGTAATTATATATTGCGATATTCTTTTCATCTGTTTAATATTGATATGTCCAAATGACTGAACAGTATAGAATGTCATTTTAAGAACATTTATTGTGCAAAAGTTTTTTTTGTTTTCTTATTAATTACAAAAATTTTCAAATAATTTTTAAGATATAACCGATCCTTTTCCAAACAATGTAACACAAAAATCTTAAATGACAAATAAAAATGAAGGTAAATGTGAAAAAATCTTTGAATAAAAAAGTAAAATATCAGTAAAACACTAAATTCTAAAATTATAGTTGTTTAAGATAAAGTGCAAATGTGCCTTTGGAAAAGATCAGTCTGTTGGTGTGTAGGGCCGTCTTTTGTCTTTCCACTTGACTGACTGGGCGTTTGTGGAGAGCGCAGTTTTTGGCTTTCCTCATATTCCAAAATGTTCTTCGCTATTACTGTACCCGGCATAATTTGCAGAGGATATTTTTCTGCTTAACATCCGGCTGCTTAAACCCAAACGCGGTCCATATGACCGACGTCACACCAGTCCCCTTTATGATCACCTCCTCCTCCTCCTCCCCACCTTTAAGCTCCATGCTTGCAGCTGCTGCGATGCTTTTGACCAAAACAGGCGCAGCTTGATGACATTATCAACATGCGCTATCACAGTAGAGCGGTATAGTCAAAATCGCTACCGTTGGCCAAATTCATAGCATTTTTACCGCCCTCCCCTACTGGCTGTCTATATGTACAATCTTATGGAGTTGCCACAGGTGTATCCATTTTAGCCGAGATACTGCCTTTCTACATTTAGAATCCACTGATTCAATATTGATCCTGTTCCCTTTTCAGTAATACATCGTAAAAGAGAGAATGTTGTCATTTAAGCTCTATAAAGGCCTGTTATCTTTATATCAGAAAGTGTGTTTATTGGAGGCTTTCTCTTCTGTCGTAGTGGCTGGCGGTGTGAGGTGTGTGACCTCCAGGAGAACATTTGGATGAACCTGACGGATGGCAAAGTTCTGTGTGGCCGCAGGTACTTTGATGGCTCAGGAGGCAACAACCATGCTCTGCTCCACTACCAGGAGACCGGTTACCCACTTGCTGTCAAACTCGGTACCATCACTCCTGATGGCGCTGGTAAGCGAAAACACTATTTGATAGTAATTGGTTTCTGTTAATTAATTTTTTTTACAGAGCTTATGCATGTGTCTGAAGCTCTGTCCCTGTGCTGTTTTGTTTTTCCAGATGTGTATTCCTATGATGAGGACGACATGGTGCTCGATTCCAAGTTACCAGAGCACCTGGCTCACTTTGGTATTGACATGATGACCATGGAGAAAGTACGTTTTATTTTTCTGCTGATTTTATTTTGGATTTGTTCACTTATCGACCAATGCAAGTTGAGAGCTGTCATATTTCTTCCTGGTTTTTAATGTTATGCATTAGATCAAGGTCGTGTAGATAGAAGTATTGATCAGTCTGCTGCTTTATGATTGGAGTGTTGTAAATTTAGACAGGGATATGGGACTTTTTTTTTTTTCCCCCTTTCTGTTTGCAGACATCCAAATAATGGTGGTGTCTACTTTTGTCTGTTAGATAGCCATTGATTGTATGGTGTTACAAAAATGAAGGTCTAAAAAAGTCGCACTGCTACTGAGCTGAAAATACTTAAAAAAGATACTTCTCTTATTGAATATCTCACCCCCTTCTGATCTGGTTTTCATTTATTACTGCTTTTGTTTTTCGTTAACTACATATTATGTTGTTCTTAATATAATAGTGCTTTAATATAATTATTACTGCTTATCATATCGATCTGCTTCCCTTTTTTTCTGCAACACCTGTTTC